CTTTGTTTCTCCAGAAAGGACTTATGAGTGCGTGTGGCATGGCCGTGCCCTCCAGGTGCCATGTCTTTCCTGTTCAGGCACTTTGGATGGTGGTGCGCTATTTGTTGTTCTCAGTTTGTCACGAGCAAAGCAGTTCATTGGTTTTAGGGTGTCCCAGAGGAAAGTGGAGGCTAACGCACACGGGGTGCCTGGGACAAGCACGGAAGAATAGAGGGTCCAGCATGCTATGTTAGAAAACACAGATGCCTCTCCCGTGACTTGCTTTAGGTGACGCTAAAATTGTAAAACTCAATAGAAAGAGACAAATACAGTGGTTCGCTAAAGAATGCTGACACTTTCAGCTTTGTATTTTATACGCTTTTCTTTGTCTACCTGCCACCCTCATTGTTGTCTTTTTGGGTTTTGACTTTGTTTTCTTTCCGTCCATGTACTCTGCATCACCACCTAGCACAGGACTTTGCAAATGGGAAATTCTCTCACCGGTTTTTGAACGGACAAGTTCACGTCTGCAATGGGGAGTGATTCTGGCGGCATCTCTTCCTTAACCTGCTGAGGTTTAGTTTTCTTATCTGTAAAATGGGAATAGCATTCCCTGCTTTTTCTCCCTCAGAGAATTCTTCTGCGTTTGAAAAACACATAAGAGGGCTTTGTAGTTTGTGCAGCATGACACAGATATAAAGGCTTATTAAATGGCTTGGAACATTCCATAGAAAGAAAGAACTGCCAGGCCAGATATTGTTAGAAATGTTCTTAGACATCGACACTCCTCATTTTTCACATGTGCTTTTCAAAAAACCTGTTTTCTCCTGATTGGTGTGGGAGATTATGGGAAAATTTAAATCTTCCAACTGACATACTACTGTTAGCACTTGACTAATTAAGGACATCCTCGGACCAAAATAATCCTTTATGCAATTTTGGTCCCAAAGCCTGCACTCGCACAAACCTGGTTCGCAAGCCAAGCTGCTTGGCTTGATGCCTGCAAAACTTGTGCTGGAGGACTTGGCAGTCTTCTTTGGAACTGCATGGACCAAACCCTTCTCATCAAATTGTGCACTGGGGATAGTTCGTACTCCACCCACCATGATGGTGTCAAACTCCGGAAACAGGAGCGGGGACTCTTCGACTGACACCTGTCTTCAGGTCTGGGGTCCTGATGGTCACGTGGTTTGAAAGCAGCATTTTACCTGTAGCTCTGCCCCCTGAGGACAGGCTGTTTGGCTAAATATACCCCGTTCTGAGGGCAGGTATAGAGTTTAGGTATGGACAGTGTTTTTGTCTTTGTGGGGTGGGAAACCCCTGTAATAGATAGGCTTTCTGGAAGGCTAAAAACTTTTTTTCTTTTTTCTTTAGCTATGCTTGTGACATATCCTAATAATTAAATGGGTTTCCTTGCTCACCACTAAGACAACCGTTCTCTTCCTTAAATCCCTAAACACTGTCTTTTCCTTAGCTTCTATATACATGGGCAAGTTTGTGGCGGAGAAACTGAAATGTTGGGGGGAAAAGTACCTACGTTTGACAGATTTATTTATTTTTTGGTGATAAACTAGGTACTTGCATTTTGCCTGGCTCTTGCATACTGGAGAAAGCTTTAGCTGTTTTTTGGTAGATTCTTTACTCTGCAGACAGTAAGAATATGAACACAATTTTTAAAGGACTATAATCACTGAAATATCTGATCTAAAGAGACGAGAGTGAATCAGCTGTTGTGTCTGAGTTTGTTTCCCACCTGTTAACAAAAAATGCCATTCTTAATCCAGTTCAGTATTGGATTAACTTTAAAAAAAGATATGTCTTCTGGGTTTATGAAGTTTGTAGTTACATTGGATAATACTATGCACTGAAAGGAAATAAAGACAGATAGGAATTTTTCTGCTTTAATTCTTCCATTTGTTTTTTGTACGAGTTTATAGAAAAGAGACTTAAAACCAATCCTAGCAAGAAGGCAACCTCCTCTAAAGATGCCCAGAGTGTTTAAATTTCCCTGTTGTCACATATTTCACGTGTGGGGGGAGAAATCTGCAACACTGGTGGTACATATGTCTTTCCATGATTTGAATCAATTTGTTTAGAAGTTTTCTGCCCTTCTTTTTTAAATTAGTTTTTATCAATACAAAATTGTATAGTTGATTTACAATGGTGTGTTAGTTTCTGCTGTACAGCAAAGTGAATCAGTTACACATATACATATATCCACTCTTTTTTAGACCCTTTTCCCACATAGTTCATTAGAGAACTGAATAGAGTTCCCTGTGCTATACAGTAGGTAGTTACTAGTTAATCTATTTTATATATAATAGTGTGGATGTGTCAATCCCAATCTCCCAACCAATTTATCTCCCCCCCGCCCCTTTTATCTAGGATTGGTGTTTCACATTTTACTGAAGTCTTAATTATACGGGCATTTCTCAGCTTGGACGTTTGAGCTGCCATTTTCCTTTGGTGACTGTTGTTTTTTCTGGCCTCTCTACTTGAAGTGTGACCCTGGCATCTTCACTGTTTGCCTTCCCCCGCCTCACCTCAACTTTAAGAAAACACGTCAGACTGAATTTGTCCAAATCTTGGTTCCACCACTAGTGGCTATGATGTTTACTGGGCAAATTAAAGTAAGTCTCACAGAGCCTTAGTTTTCTCATGTAGAAACTGGAGCTAGGAATTGTCCTGAGAACTAAATTGGAGAATACATATGAATCCCCGGGACTAGCACAACACTGGTGATCAGTAGGTGGTCACAGTTGATATTAGCAGATACTGTCTTTCGTCATGATTGGGCATCTTTACCGAGAGCTGAATTGCCTCCTTGGGATGATGGTTTTGTACCCAGAGAGCAACAAGGAGTGCGAAATGTATTTACACAAAGGCCACATTCTCTAGCGACTTGCCTTGGACCTCCAGTTGTCCTCCCTCATCCACAGCTTTGCCCTCTGAGGTTTGTTACCCTCAATCCAAAAATATTAAATGGAAAGTTCCAGAAATAAACAGTTGTTAAGTTTTAGATTCCACGCCATTCTCAGCGTGATGAAGTCTCACCATCCTGCTCCAACCCACTGGGAGTCACCCCTTCGTCCAGCGTTTCCCCCCCCATTTGTCACTTAGTCGCCATCTCGGTTGTGTCTTAGTATCACAGTGCTCGTGTTCACCTGTTACACCTTAAGTAAAATAGTAACATCTGTTTTACTTAATGATGGCCCCAAAGCACAAGACGAGTGATGCCGGCAATTTGGAGGGGCCACGGAGAAGCCATAAAGTGCCTCCTTTAAGAGAGAAGGTGAGGGCTTCCCTGGTGGCGCAGTGGTTGAGAGTCCGCCTGCCGATTCAGGGGACGTGGGTTCGTGCCCCGGTTCGGGAAGATCTCACATGCCGCGGAGCGGCTGGGCCCGTGAGCCGTGGCCGCTGAGCCTGCACGTCCGGAGCCTGTGCTCCGCAATGGGAGAGGCCACAACAGTGAGAGGCCCGCGTACCGCAAAAAAAAAAAAAAAAAAAAAAGAGAGAGAGAGAGAGAAGGTGAAAGTTCTCAACGTAATAAGAAAAGAAAAGAAATCACGTGGTGAAGTTGCTAAGATCTATGGGAAGAACGAATCAAGAAAAAAGAAATTCATGCTAGTTTTGCTGTCATACCTCGAGCGGCAAAAGTTATGGCCATAGTGTGTGATAAGTGCTTATTTAAGATGGAAAAGGCATTAAATATGTCTAGCAAGATATTTTGAGAGAGAGAGACCACATTCACATAACTTACATTATAGTAATTTTTGTAATTGTTCTCTTTTCTTGTTAGTTATTATCGTTAATCTCTTACCATGCCTAATTTAGAAATTACACTTTGTCTTAGGTATGTATGTATCGGAAAAACCATAGTATATATAGGATTCAGTAGGCATCCACTAGGGATCTTGGAACGTATCCCCTGTGGATAAGGGGGGACTACTATATATATCTCTCTTTTTTTTTTAATTTGATGTTTAGTACGTTCAGATTCAGAACTTTTCTTTGGTCTGCCTAGGCAACGTTTTCTCCAAAACAAACAAGAAGGCCCAGACCTTTCAGGCCTTAAACCAAGCTAGAGGTTAGGAATCCAGTATGAGAAACACCTAACTTTGAATGGGACTTCTCAGGAGAATTTTAACCATAAGGCAAAGATAAGAGTCTGAATTTGTTTAGCTTCTGAAAAGTGGGGAGTTTTTTTTTTCCTCTCCCTCAAAGAGGCCTATCTTATTGGAAAGGCCACTTTTGAAGAGTTTCAGTACCTGAATGAGTCCAAGGAGTGTGAATCAGTAAAATGCTTTTTGGGTTTTGAGTGTAAGGGTTTTCAGCACGAATTACCTCAGGGGAGCCTATTGGTAATGTGCATCATCTCCTGATAGACTGAATTTGCAGAATATTTCTCTAAGAGTGTAACACACAACACAGAGCCTGCACATACTAAAATGTAATGTTACACGCTGAACAGAATGACTTACCAGTTTTTGAGCAAAAAAATATATAATAATCACAGATATAATCACAGAAATTCAACCATAAATCCTAGGTTCACCTGAAAATAATTGTTCTCTTCTAAGGGGAAAAAGATAACATATACAGAACAATACTAGTTCTCAAAACTAGCTCTCAGAACAAAACTTGAATTTGTTTTTCTCAAGTTTTTAATTTAATTTTTATTTTATATTGGACTCTTGTTGATTTACAGTGTTGTGTCAGTTTCAGGTGTACAGCAGCAAAGTGGTTCAGTTATCCATATACGTACATCTGTTCTTTTTCAGATTCTTTTCCCGTCTAGGCTGTTAGAGAATAGTGATAGAGTTCCCTGTGCTCTACAGTTCCGTGTTCAAAAACTAGGCAATTGGACCATTTCTAAGGGGTAACGTGAGTGAAAGGAAATGACAACTGTTTACAGATTTTGGCAACACTGAAGGCAGGGCCCTTCTCCTAATATACAACAACTGTGCTAACAGCTGCTTTTTTCTTTCTCCCCGGCTCCCTCCTCAAAATCCTTCTACCAGGTTTTTGAGTCATGATGCAAGAATCTGGGACTGAGACGAAAAGTAACGGTTCAGCCATCCAGAATGGGTCAAGCGGCGGCAACCACTTATTAGAGTGCGGCGGCCTCCGGGAAGGGCGGCCCAACGGGGAGACGCCGGCCGTGGACGTGGGGGCGGCCGATCTGGCCCACGTGCAGCAGCAGCAGGTACTGAGCTCTGGAGCGGGGGCTGGGGCGGGCGGTGGGTGCCGATGCTACTGCTTACCCTGACGTTTGACCTCTGCGAATGTCTGGTGCTCACCGGCTCCCTGACCGTAAGCACCATCTTTGAAGCCACTAGCACAGCAGGGCCCCAGTGACTGGCTTTAAGAGACGGAACTGCCAAGGGCTTGAGAAGTAGAGTCTTGGAAGCCCCCTCTGTCTTGGGGAATGGTGGTTGAAAATGAGGTTGGGTGGACCTCTGGCCACTTCCTTTGAGCCTCTAATGTGTCAGCCTAAAGTTTAACTACTTGCAATAAAACAGATCTTTGGAGAAATGGTTCCCAGTGCTTGAATCAAAAAATAAATACGTAGACTTATTAAGCCTTATGATGAGAGAAACAAAATAAGGGATCAAGGATAAAAGAGAAATGAGGGCTATAAGAGAGAAAAGTAGGTGACTTGGGAGAATAGAAATAAATGGAAATACCCAAGCAGAATTGGGTAAATAACAAGACATCAATAACATAGGCATCGGTGTAAGAAACTGCTTGCTGCTACCTGGAGGAATTTAGGGAGATGGGCCACTTACAAATGTTTCTTACATACATATGGCAGTTGGTATGTGACTAAATCCTGTTAATGTTTTAAGTGCTCTCTTAGTGGTGGCTCCCCAAAATGCACGTAAGTTGCGATGTATTCATTCTGTTATATCCTTTGTAGGCATTTAAGTGGGTACCTGGGAGTGACTGGTAAAATATTTCCAAATGGTAAATGGTGTGACCCAGAAAATGGCATTGTGTGGCCAGTGTTGATGCAGATTCAAATAAGTAAACAGCATTTATTTGCTTGAAGATAAACATTGTTTTCCCAGCCTCTCTTGTAATTAGGAAATATTGTTTCTTTTTGTTAATGATAACGGATGATTTTTGTTGCATTTTAGAGTTTGATTCATTTATTCAGTACAAAGTAATGGTGCCATTTGGAAAAAGGTGTAAAAAGAATGGTGCATCTTTGGACTTTCTGAGTGAAATGGAAATTGCGCTGGGGGTTGAGGGAAGAGAAAGAAAAACAGAAACCTTTTCTCAAACCATTTTCTTGGAATCTATATCAGATAAGCCAAGGCAGTCCCTCCTTGTTTTAGGGATATAGCCTTTGACAGGCTCTAAAACATGTATTATTTTCTCCTTACTAAGAATTTTTTACAAATAAGGAACCATTAGATTGTTAGTCTATCGGAAGTTGGTGGAACCTGCATGAGACAATGGAATCTGTTGGGGAAGGATACAACAGAGAGAAAGAGGACACTAACAGACAAGCTAAGGTCTTAATTCAGAGGACTTGAAGTGATTTGATCTCTCTTTTAGTGGCAGCTCAAATCCGATAGTGCCTGCTTCCTGGGCATCACATCAGCTGGGATTTATGATGTATGTTGTGTATAAACTTTGGGCACTTGCATTAGTGCAAATGGCCAAATTCCACCCAATGTGGTTATTGACAAAACCTATCAGTATATGGTAGAAAGGTATCCATGTGTTTGTGTGTGTATTTGTTCATTTGATATTCTCAGATGTTTATGGTTCTATTGAGAATAAATAGTTGGTAATTTGGTTTGCCGTTTTCTGTGCCCTTACCATACAGAGGCCAAGGTCAACTGTTTCTTTTTTTTCTTTTTTTCTTTTTTGTGCGTTACGCGGGCCTCTCACTGTTGTGGCCTCTCCCGTTGCGGAGCACAGGCTCCAGACGCGCAGGCTCAGCGGCCATGGCTCACGGACCCAGCCGCTCCGCAGCATGTGGGATCTTCCCAGACCAGGGCACAAACCCATGTCCCCTGCATCGGCAGGCGGCCTCTCAACCACTGCGCCACCAGGGAAGCCCGGTCAACTGTTTCTTTATGGAGTGGTTGAAGTGGGGCTATTGACTGATGTGGTATGAACCCCGAGTAATTAGTATCTAGATTATGTTAATTGGATAAATGAAAAGTAACTTCTTCTGATTTTTATTTGAAAAACTGAAAATTATCCACTATCTCAAAGTCGTAAGCCAGCCAAAAACTTTACTTTTATACCATCAACGCACACACACACAGACACACACACACACACAGCCTGACCCCACGAACAGCAACCACAAGTTGACCTCACAGAAGAAAGTTGTATACATGCATATTAACAGCATCTTCCTTGAAAATCATAGTAGCAAAATTAGTTATCCATGTCTTTATCTCGGCGGTGACCACTTTGGAAATTACGTTGTTATGGGTTATTGGTATAAAGGTCAATACCTTTTGATTGTACTTCGAAGTGCTTTTATTATTTTTATAACAATTTTATTTCTAATTGCCAAGGATATGTTTTGGGAAGGTAGAAAGCAGTTGGGTCTATCATTGTGGCTAAAACCCCACATACTGTGGTTGGCAGGCCTTTTAAAATAAAATACTGACAGCTATGTGACTTTCCTAAGTGTATGATGAGGCTCTTAACAGGTTGTTGGGGGGAAAGAAAATCTGTAGATGAAATAAGAAAAACACCCCCTCAGGATTGAAAAAAGTTTCACGGGACTCGCCTCATCAGTTTTCTAACAGACTGAAAACTGCTACAATTAAACAGTTCGGAGAGACCCGAATGTCGGCGGGATGGACGTGGGTTGTTTTCGTCATTTTTATTCTACAGGTTTTTACTTGAAGCGAGAATACCAGCAATGAGAAAATCACAGCCATGCTGAATTCATTACTGCGGTAGTCACACAAAACCACGGATAAAATTTCAATAACTGCAGGCCACAGTTGAGTAAACAGTTGCACTGAAATTTAATTCCTGTTGACTTTTCCCCCATTCCTCGCCAGGGGCACATTCTGACTCTGTAGTACAAAGACAACAGGGGTTACAGCTTTGATTAATGTAGGACAGTGGAAGAGAATTAGAACTGTAAAATATGTTAGAAGTCCATGGAACAAAAAGATCTGGCTTAAAAGGACTTGGTATAAAAATGAGTTAATTATGCTGTGTATGAAACGGAAACGTTCTAGGATTTTCCAGTTGCACCAGTACAATCATTGACGATATAGGGAGAATTTTTACCTAGTGCCGGGATTTAAAATACATAAACGCAAGCCTCTCCGTGTTTGACTGATATTACCAAAGATAATTACGGATGAGAGCAAGTGTCCTTTCAGGATGGAGAGCTTTCACGAAGATTCGCTGTGAAGTGAGTGACTTCTGTGCTGGGTTTGGTCTATAGGTTGGTTAAATCGGGTCCAAACAGACTGTGTGTGTGTGTGTGTGTGTGTGTGTGTGTGTGTGTGTGTGTGTTATGTTGTTGACCCCTCAGAAAAATGGGAGAAATCTGGCTTTTACATTTTCTCTTGAAAAATCAGCAGATCTGGTAACTGTGGCCAGTATTCCTACAAGGGTAACGATTGTTGGGAGGTGAACTGCTACTAAGTCAGGGAGCCTATAGCCCGGCAGTCAGCCTGAGTTCCCACCCAGTACCTTTGCTGACTTGTACCCTCTAGGCAGTGGAGTTGGTGATTCTTTTCTGGAAGTTGCCATCATCACTCAGAAGCCATCAGCCAAGGAGAGGTGCTACCATTAGCTGGAGGAGCCCGCCCACACACTCACAAACTGTCTTCCTTCCTCAAAACTAAATGTATTATCTCTGTAATGTTTCAACTCTACTTATATCTGGGGCATGAAACTCTTATAACAATAGTTTTCTAATAATATAATTTGATAATGCTTCTGAACATTTTCTTTTTAGCCATTGAATAATTCTTTACCCAGTACCATCACTGCTTTTTATTTCCTATTATCCCTGTCCCATTTCTAGGTCTGTGAAAGTTCTGTATTGGATATGGACTACTCCATTATGAAACTCAGCAACAAATACTATTACCAATTACTAAAGTTTTTTTTTTCTTTCTTTCTTAAAGAAAGGATTTTAAAATGTCCAGAGCAATTTCACAAACTGTGTGGATTAATGCATTTTAAAAGTCTTGAGTTTTAGAAAGCAGGATTTTATTTCCATATTGCTGCAAATGAGAGCTTTTTCAGATAAGCATATTACATAGAGCATAATGTTTAGAAGTTTCTCCATATACAGCATATGCTGTCAGGTCAATTAACAGAATGCATACTAGAAAATGTTTATTCAATAAAAATGAATAGCTGTTAAATAAAACAGCTATTTCTTAACAACATTCCATTTAATGATGGGCTTTTTTTCTTTTCTTTTTTTTTTTGGTACCACCTGGCACTTTTATTGTCTGCAGATCCGTGTAGGGAGAGCGTTGCTTGCTAGAGTGTTGAGGTGTGGCTGTCGTTTTATGTGAGAAGGGCAGTTTAGAAGTAGTCTTGTGAGAAGAACATTTAAAAACAATAAACTAAATATGGAATTCAAAGATATATTATTTGGAGAGTGTGGACAAGTGATGTGTTTACTTCATTATTGCTTCTTTGACATTTGGTTTAAGGTGTTGGACCTTTTAGCCCAAAAGACGTACATGTTTCATGTTAATAATTTAAAAGAAAAAAAACAGTCAATGACTATTAAGGAGGTACAAGAAATAGAAAGGATAGGGAGCTTCTGCAAAATCATGAACGAGAAGGAGGGGGATCCACTGGGTTGAATTTTGCCAATGAGCCATTGAAGGAGGTAAAAGATGAGTCATTACACAGGACCAGAGACGCTCAGAAATTCTTCTCTTTGTTGTCAAAATGGCAGAATGAATCCCTTCCTTTAGTTTTTTTTTTTTTTTGCAATACGCGGGCCTCTCACCGTTGCGGCCCCTTCCGTTGCGGAGCACAGGCTCTGGACACGCAGGCCCAGTGGCCATGGTTCACGGGCCCAGCCGCTCCGCGGCACGTGGGATCTTCCCGGACCGGGACACGCACCCGTGTCCCCTGCATCGGCGGGCGGACTCTCAACCACCGTGCCACCAGGGAAGCCCTCTTCCTTTAGTTTTTTTGACTGAAGTTACTAGTGGATATCGAACAGAACAGGGAGAATGT